TGCTATAAACATCTGACAATAGCCCAAACAACCCAATAAATAGCCCATCCGTCATACTCGTGAACGGGGCTGGTCTGTTCAGGTTGCGATGATTAGATTTTTTGTTTTTTGCAATAGCATATGCTGGTGGTCACTCTATTCTCCCAAATTTTAATTTAAATGACACTATATTATTGTAAACATGTACAACATTTATTTGAAAAGAATACGAGCTGAGTTTCATGTCAGTTCTTCTCATCTAGAAATCATTCTGAACTGACGGTAGATTTGACATATCATAAGAGTGAGTCATTGAGTCAGTAATTCATAGATACATGAAAAAAACTATTTTGAATTTTGACTTTTAAAAATTCTACCTTTTTTTAAAGCAATGCTAAAATAATAATAGCAATATTAATATCAGTACAATTCACACAGCGCCATCTAGTCCCAAGTTAAGCTAGCTAAAGCTTGTGTTTGCGCACTAGACAACTGATACAAATACATAGATTTCTTTTGTAGTAAATACATAGAAAACACCCAAACTGATACAAACAATCATACTCATGAATACAAACGTTTGTACCGAGGAATCGAACCCGCGACCATTAGCAGTAGTGGTAAACTAACCGCTAGACCACCGGGGCCGTCAAATGACATGGATAATAATGTTGCAGATAATCAATACATTACGGAGTTATATAGTTAATTGAAACGAGCTGTATACAGCATACATAATTGGCCACGCCAGTTATTGTAGTTCAATAAAGTGCCCATAAAACGTCCAGTCCCGCGGGATTCAACCAATCGCATTACAAGCAGCCACTTAGCTGAATGAGGTTTCAGATATTTACTTATATATTTGTTGTATTGTTATGTTGTGGACTAACTAACATTACATATGTTTTATCTATAACTAACTACTCGACCGTGTACCTTCCTCTTGAATCACTCCATCTATTAACAAAGGCTTCAAAATCCGTTGCGTAGTTTTAAAGATTTAAGCATACATAGTGACAGACAGCGATAGGGACTTTGTTTTATACTATGTAATAACTAGTTACTTGCCCCGGCTTCGCACGGGTCTATATGTATTATATATATAAACCTTTCTCTTGAATCACTCGATTTATTAAAAAAAAACGCTTCAAAATCCGTTGCGTAGTTTTAAAGATTTAAGCATACATAGGGACAGACAGCGACAGCGACTTTATTTTATACTAGCTGTGTCCGCGACTTCGTTCGCGTGGTTATCAAAATCATTTCATATTTTTTGGGTAACTAGAACCGTTTACTTAGCGCATGCAATAATTTTCCCTGTTTTTGCAACATTTTTCACTGATGCTCCGCTCCTATTGGTCGTAGCGTAATGTTATATAGCTTAAAGCCTTCCTCGAGAAATGCACTATCCAACACAAAAAGAATTTTCCAATTCAAACCAGTAGTTCCCGAGATTATCGCGTGCAAACAAACAAACTCTTCAATTTTATAATATTATTAAGTATAGATGATATGCCACATATCGTGTAACAATGAACTCCTTCCAACTTGAACTTGAGAAGTTATATTAAATTATATTATAACTTGGTTTCTTAACTCATTACAAATTCACTGAAATTTATACTTAAATGCATAATACATAGATTCCAAATTTAATTGTGACACATTACCTCTTAATACCTTCCTAATCAAATGTTATGTTTCTAATTCCATAGGCAATAAGGTGTAATTCTGTAATTTTTAAATTTATTGGAAAACTTACTTAATTGCAGTAAAAATAGATTCCAAATTTGATAACATCACAATAACCATTTATAATGTTATCCAATCAAAAGACGTTATGATTCTAATTCCATAAACAATAAGGTCGAATTCAGTTTATAAAAATACAAACCAAGTATTAGTGACACTTTCAACTTTAAAACCAGTGTTTAAAGTTCATTATTGATTAGCAAAAGATAAATAGATAGACATAAGCTCGTCCTTATTTGTATGGTTTCATCGCATTAACGTACATTTCATACGTACGTAGGAAATCTTTTGCTAATGCATTCGTTGTGAGCATGAAAGTATCTTTTTATTTTAGTAATAATTAGTAATAGAGCAAGAGCCTACGACTGCCAGACATACGTCATTTTAGTAAACGTGAAAGTTCTTGTATGTGTGTCCCCAACACAGGTAAGAACGATCCCCAAACATGAAACCTGGATCGTGGTTCCTTTGGCAGGTAACAGGTAACAAAGGTGTAAAAAATTTCATATCAAATTCGTTATTCTAAGAAACTCCATATTTTCATATATTGTTCGCAGCATTATTATAACTTGCGTTGCTCATTGCCAGACACTTAGTGTGGTTCCAACCCCCCGCCGGACCCCCCGAACACGAGACTGTTTGAGTAATAAACTTACGTCATTTTAATAAAGGAACCATATATATTATTGAGAGAAATTAAACTGTCTAGTTTTCTTGGTTCCTTATCCTACCAGACTCATTGAAACCGTATATTGGGTAACAACGTTGTATACAATTTCATATCAAATTCGTTATTTTAAGATGCCCCATTTTTTCACATATTGCTCGTAACAGTATTATAACTTGCTCTGTTCATTGCCAGACACTTAGTGTGATTCCAACCCCCCACCGGACCCCCCTAAACTATACTATTTTATAAATAAACTTACGTCATTTTAATAAAGCTGAACTTTATATATATTATTGAGAGAACTATTAAACTGAGTTTCCTAAATTGCCAGACAGTTTTCTTGGCTCCTTATCCTACCTATAATATGATGTATGTCTGGCCGTCGTGGGCTCTTGGGCTATATTACCTATTGTTTTTTTTTGTATATGTTAACGAAATAGTGCACCTGCGCTAACGGATTACGCTGTGGCACCAGTGGACGATGATAAGATGAGAATGCGGTCAGGTCAGTTAGCCCATCGTGACAAATTCATCTGGAATATATCACGATGATTTCCAGGTGGAGCCACGTAGTCGCCTAGTGTTCTAATTTCGACTATAATTAACTTAAATTATAGAACATTGAATTCCTCGGTTAACAGGTTAGGCCCAGCTGCGGCAACAGCATTAGAGTAGTCCGAAGAAACCTCTAACGATGGATAGGTCTTGTGAAGATTTTGCCACACGACAAAAAATATCTATTTCAATCTAAATAAATATAACTCAAAAGTGACTGACATAGTGATCTATCAACGCACAGCCCAAACCAATGGACGGATCGGGCTGAAATTTGGCATGCAGGTAGATGTTATGACGTAGGCATCCGCTAAGAAAGGATTTTGATTAATTCTACCCCCAAGGGGATGAAAGTTTGTATGAAACTTTGTCAATTTTAATCCGACCAGGCTGAGACTTTGCACGCATAAAGCTACTATAACGTAGGCATCCTCTAAGAAAGGATTTTGATAAATTCCACCCCTAAGGGGATAAAATAGGTGATGAAAATTCGTATGAAAGTACTGTGCCGCAAAAACTATATATAATAATAATACTTCTTAACGCGAGCGAACTCGCGGGCAAAAGCTAGTTATAAACATAAATCTTTACACTAAACTAATTGTTAAGAAAAGCAATAAAATAATTATAGTTGAAATTTGAGAGAGTGCCAATTGGATGTCGGATCTACAGTGTATAAATTACATATATGTATAAACTAGCTGTACGTCCGTCCTTCGTCCGCGTGGAATGTAACTTTATTTTTCCAAAATAAAAGTAGCCTAAGTTACTCCCTATTACATCAGCTACCTGCCAAAGAAAGTCCTGTCAAAATCAGTCCAGCCATTTCAGAGATTAGCCGGAACAAACAGACAGACAGATAAAAATTGTAAAAAATGCTATTTTGGTATATGTACCGTATTTATATTCATATACATGTAGTAAAAAACGGTTACTTCAATATTACAAACAGACACTCTAATTTTATTTATATGTATAGATTATTTGTATCATAAAAAGAACACGTGCCATTTTTATGACATACACACAAACACTTTTTTGTATATAATTATCAACAGCATAGTTTTATTAAGACGCTTTCAGCTTTGGAGACAGTTTTATAATTTGTTTATCATCAATATAAATATTGCAAATTCAGATAGATACGCGTACATAACGAGCATACTGACTCAGTGGTTTACTACCCTGAAATTTGCCTTAGATATCGTGAGTTCAAATCTCGAAACCAAAAAGAAAACTTTGTTTATATTATATTTCTAACTCTCCACTCAAGGAGATAGCGACATCTAATCAAAAATTATCCCATAGATGGCGGTAGGCTGAACTCCTGTCACGTTGAATTCAAAATATACCAAGATATATATTTATTTATTCTTTTGTACACAAAAATGTAAACATGGCGGACTTAATGCCTGATGGCATTTTCTACCAGTCAACCGTCACGTTGATCAGAGATAGTAAGGCGGCGCACTTGCAAAGATACTCCTAGATGAAGAATAGAATAGAATAGAATAGAATAAATGTTGAATTCAAAATATATCAAGATACTCGTAGAAGTAGAGAGTACTCGCTCAGTGTTGGAGCTCTTGAAGTCTGAACTACTCTTAAAAGATCTTGAGTTCAAATTTCGAAACCCAAAATTAATACGATAGATGGCGGTAGGCTGGACTCCTACACATTCACAGTCACATTGTATTTGTAATACATCTAGATACTCGTAGATGAATAAAGTACTGGCTCAGTGGTTTACTACCCTGAACTACGTTTAAGAGACCTTGAGTTCAGATCTCGAAACCATAAAAGAAACTTTTCGGGTTAATTTATATTAACTCTGCGGTGAAGGAAATAGCTTCATCAAACCAAAAATTAATCCGCTAGATGGCAGTAGCCTCATCCCCTGCTACTTTGGATTAAAAAATATAACACAAGTTGTGGGTATGTCAAATATTGAGTTCATTACAACATCGAGTGTTGACAATGTTCTGTCTAACACATCTCGGATAAAAGGCGTAAATGTTTTAAATTTAAGGTATATCAAACTTACCTCGGTCTTCTTGAAGGCACTAGGAACTTAAGGGGACCAGCGGACTTTCTTCTATCCTTCACCACTGGCACCAGCAAAAAGTCCTCATCATCAGTCTCTGAACCACCACTGTCCAAATTAACTAGCGCAGGAGCAGACATTCGTCTGTCCGGAATACTCTTAGGTGGCTCTAACATGTCCCTAATCACTTCACAATACTTGCACGCACTCGCTTCCTCCATATATGCTTTCGTTATAGCATATGCATAGTTCTCCAAAAAACACTTATGGCAACCCGGCACATAATTAGTTTCTATATCAGTCGATTCTTCACTCGGTTCTTGCTTCTTAAAGTGCAATTTCTTTTCCATACTAACTATTTTCTTCTCTAAGATCTTCTTCTGTTCCTCTCTATGTCTCCTCTCTTCTTCTTCCTCTAACTTTCTTTGCCGTATCTCCTTCAAGCACTCCGCTTGATCGTTATAATACTCTACGCACTGACGACGCTCATTCTTGGACGGTTTTGTTGGGCTACGTTTCTTTAGTTTATTATTACTTATGTTTATATTGAGCGGCTCTATTCTCAATGATTTCATTTGCTTTATTATATGCTCCTGCACATAAGGGTGACTGTAAGACGTCACATCATCTACGGTATTAGTAGTGTTCTGTGCGTCCACAGTTTTGGCACTTATATCGTTGTCGTTGTTTTTAACAGTTATTTTATCGTGTTTATACGAGTCTTTGATGTGATGATCGCCGTTGGCTTTACGACCGTTTTTTACTGTACACTTGATTGACGTGGAATCTTCGTCGAGACATGTTTCGTATCCATCTATCTCGTGGTCTATAAACAATAGTGAATTGTTTTCTTCTTGCACGGAGATTCTTGTAGTTGCGTCATAAAAGCTGCTGGTTTCATCTGTAGGGGAATTTAGACATTCTTTCCAACTTTCGTTGCTCTTTACTTTTTCTAAAACAGTCTTTTCAATATTGGTCTCATCACATTCTTTCCAATATTTATCGTAACTGATCCTTTCTAGTCCCGTCGGTGTAACAGCGAATACCATTTCATCTGATGTTGACAAGTCCCTACTCTGCTGTTTAGAAAGCGATCTCTTTCCATCTACTTCATTTCTATCTTCTGATTTACTTCTAATATTTAATTCTCTTGGCATATTTAGGATATCGTCTTCTGTTATTGTCATATCGTCATCTTGCTCATCTAAAGAAACATCGGATGATTTCAAATCAGACACTCCATTTAGCCTTTCCTCTTTTCTGTTCTTAATACTATCACTCTTTTTACAGTCTTCAAAGCTGAGGTCGCCAAATGCAGATAGCTCTTCATCCTTTAATGAAGATTCTTCCGGTTCAAGGCATATTTGAACAACTTCAAGCCCTTCGCCGTACTCTTGCAGGCATTCGTGAAATGAATCCATTCCGGTATGATCGTCGGAGGCCAGGGAATTGATGCACTCCTGTAAAAAAGAAATATCGTTAACATTTTTGTCACTTACTACTATAATACTCCCAGACAATTCAGCCATCTAGTCCCAAGGTATGAAGAGCTTGTGGAATGGGTATTAGACATTACATAGTATAAAACAAAGTCGCGGCCGCTGTCTGTCCGTCCCTATGTATGCTTGAATCTTTAAAACTACACAACCGATTTTGAAGCGGTTTTTTTTTTAATAGATAGAGTGATTTAAGAGGAAGGTTTATATGTATAATACATGTACACCCGTGCAAGGGGTAGCTAGTAACTTATATAAAACTTATATATATTTAGGTTTTTGTTTGTAAATAAGAACAAGCCTCCCGCGTACACTTAGATTGTGGAATGAACTTCCTGCCAAGGTTTTCTCACGAGACTACAGCATGGGGTTTTTCAAGAAGGGTATATTAAGGTTTCTTAAGGGTCGGCAACGCGCACGTGACACCCCTGGTGTATCAGGCGTCCGTAAACTACGGTAACCATTTACCATCAGAAAGGCCGTATGCTTGAATGAATACAAATGTTTATACCATGCGAGGAATCCAACCCGCGACCTTTTCACGGCGAAGACTAACTAACTAAAACTACATATGTAAGAGATAACAGCAAGAGGTTTGTCACTATGCTAAAATAGTTAAACTCCAAATAACTATACTCTGTATCTCCAAATATATGTTACGAGTAAGTGTGATAAAAACTTTATCTGCACTTCAATTCGGTATGTTTAAATTCTAGAACGTTCCAAACACTATCAAGGATGTTTATATACTTTCTTATTATTGTTTTAGTATTATGTACACATATAATACAAACATGGTAATGAAACATCAGACGTTTTAGTGTTATCAGAAAAAATAACTAAACGATATCTTCTAGAAACTATTATTCTTTTATAACTTACGAATTATCATATTAGACTTTCTACAAAATTTAAAAAATCTACAAATTTACAAGAATGGTGCCTATTTGTAATAATATAATAATAATAATCTCAGGACAAATCACACAGCGCCATCTAGGCCCAAGTTAAGCTAGCTAAAGCTTGTGTTATGGGTATTAGATCATATTTACTCATATATATATAGATACATGGATTTTTTTTTTGTAAACATATATTATTAATATATGTACATAGAAAACACCCAGATCGATAGAAACAATCATCTAGACACGCGGTAGCGTGTCAAGCCGAGTTTCAAGTAAACTGGCTAGCAGCACCGTGTTACTTATTAACACAAACATCTTTTGTCTATCTGTAACACTTAGCTTAGGACTAGATAACGTTGTGTGATTTGACACATTATTGTTATATTATTTTCTACTAGCTGCACCCGCGACTTCGTCCGCGTGGATTTTACTTTATTTTTCTAAAATAAAAGTAGTCTCAGTTAGTCCTTATTACATCAGCTACCTGCCAATAAAAGTCACATCAAAATCGGTCCAGCCATTTCAGAGATTAGCCTGAATAAACAGACAGGCAGACAAAAATTGTAAAAAATCTTATTTTGGTGTATGTACCGTATTTATATTCATATGCATGTAGTAAAAAACGGTTATTTCAATATTACAAACAGACACTCCAATTTTTTTTATATTTATACTTGTATAGATAAGACTCTGTTCTATGTTGGTTCCTAATCTTTTATATGGCCTTAGGATCACAGTCCTGATTATCCCAATTATTGTTGAACCTATTCATAACTATTTTCATTTTTGGATGCTTAACTAAGGGACCTAAAAATGTAGTTAGTATAATACATGAAATAACTACCAGGGACGAACCCCGATACTGGAGGGAGGCATGCGCGCCACACGGCCAACAATTGAGTAGGGTGAAACAAGGTACCCTGGAGGGATGGGGATTGTTAGTAATGTGGACTTACGACCCCATTACTACCAAAGTACCATGTCAAGTTGACCTCCACGCGGTTTCCCCTAGAAACCATCGTGATAGCAAAGTACCATGTCAGGTTGACCTCCACGAGGTTTCCCCTGGAAACCATCGTGCTAGCAAAGTACCATGTCAGGTTGACCTCCACGCGGTCCTGGAAACCATGGTGATAACGCACAGCCCAAACCACTGGACGGATCGTGAAATTCCATTGTCATCACACAAAAAAATAGGTTACCCTAACAACTAGATGAGACCTGCCCTACATAGCTAGGTTAGTGCCCTCTCTCTCCCCCCTTTTATATATATATTTTTGGTGCCACTGAAAACCAGCTGTATCATCTCCTATTTTATCAAATAGGAGATGAATTTCAGTTATTGGATGTAAAAAATGTTTATTTTTAAACCGATCGGCAAATTAAGTTTAATTATGTCATTTTATAAAGCTACTATTTTTTCGTTTGTTGTTTATATTGAAAGAAAGAAGAAAGAAAGAAAAATATTTTATTCAGTGCAATGTAAAAAATACAATATAAACAACAAACGGAAAAAAAAAATATATTTTTTACATTGCACTGAATAAAATATTTTTCTTTATTTATTTATTTTATTTATCGGAATTATTTATCTCGACTCCAGCTCTTATGGTGCACCATAATAACAAAAAAAAAATCATATATACGTCAACGAAAACGGTATTTAGATTATTTTTACAGAATATGATGAAACATATATCTAAATATATATAACTCAAAGGTGACTGAAATAGTGAACTATCAACGCACAGCCCAAACCACTGGACGGATCGGGCTGAAATTTGGCGTGCAGGTAGATGTTATGACGTAGGCATTAATAATATTAATATATAAAATAATACTATCATAAATATACATAGGGGATAATATATAAAACTTTATCAAATTTAAATATACAATAATATAATACATAATATATACTACGTAAGGGGGTACACAGCAACATATATGCAATTATTTTGCTGTGTAAGTGCCAATAGTCCCAATAATTTCAGTTTGTAATTCTTTATTATTATTATTAAAAAATGATTGTATAATAATGAGACACGAATAAATTTTGCGCAATATTTATTTCTGCAACACACAACAAAGCTTCGAAACAACATTTAACACAGACTTTTAAAGCATTTCACACCAATCTAGAACAAGTTCATAACATACTTTATACTCTGACAATTGACAAAACATCACACAATCCTCACAAAACAATCAATAAGACAATACTGTAGCTCAATTCTCAAAATTTTTATTTCTTTATTCATGTAGGTCTATTACAGACTTATGATATGTCAAATCTACCGCCAGTTCGGAATGATTTCGAGATGCGAAGAACTGACAAGAAACTCAGCTCGTATTCTTTTTAAATTATATACTTTTATCTGATTTGTTGATATATTTATGTCATATTTCAAGGTTATGGTGACTAACCTTCTTTTCAAAATGTACATCTAAAACTTTCTTTATTTTATTTCTTGATATATTTATTTTATTTATATTTCTATCATATTTCTAGGTTATGGTCATTAGCTATCCGTCACTTATGGCCACTTATGGCCAACACAGAATACCAGCCAGGGTAGTCTAGCAATGTACCACACTACCATACATTTTTTTCTGACTACTCTAATGCTGTTGGCCGCAGCTGGCTTTACAGCTTCACCGGACTATAGGGGGCGAGTGCAGATAACATTCCAAACCAAAGGAAGGACTTATGGAGCGGCTGAAGGCACACCGCCTTACTTCCGATAGTCGCGGGTTCGATTCCTCGCACGGTACAAACATGTATATTGATGAATGATTGTTTTTATCGGTCTGGTTGTTTTCTATATATATATATTTAATGCTATCTACATAACCCATATCACAAGCTCTGCTTAGCTTGGTGCTAGATGGCGCTGTGTGTTGTTATGGTTGTTCTGAGATGTTATTATTTCGTATACAATTTTGTACTTTAGAAATCTTTGTTCTAATAATGTGTTAGGTTTAAATCAATAACATGAATTAATAATTCAACAGTTTTCATCAAGATCATATGATAAATATATCTAATATATATATTTATATAGATGCAACTTTTATAATTTTCATTGACATAAAATATATAATTTTATATATCTACTTAAACAAATAGTATATATTATCTGTCTTAACTATAATTAAATTCTATCCTGCACCATATTGAATAATAGACCGTTGTAAATCCATGTAGGCCTTACTTAGGATCTAATTATACAATTACATACACAAAGATAGTAGAAATAAGATATAGAAATAGAAACAGAAATAAACTTTACTAGAATAAACTTGTTATTGTTATTGTGTAATTATTTATATTAAAAAAAAACATTTTCAAAAAAGCAACACACAAGTCTCTTACTCATTCTTCTTGTGATAAATCTGCATTCCGAATGAGTGATAGATTAAAAAAAATATGACTATTCAAAAGTACATAAATGAACTTTATTTGAATAAAGGTTATTTCTATTTCTATTTCTAAACTTTAAACACTTTTGAATAGTCATATAATATTTTTTTATTGTACCATTCATTTGAAAAACAGAAGCAGAAGAAATAATAATGTGACAATACAAAAATAAAGAAATAACCTTCACTCAAATTTAATATAAGCACTTTTTAATCTTATATATAAAATTCTCGTGTCACAGTTTTCGTTCCCATACTCCTCCGAAACGGCTTGACCGATTCTCATGAAATTTTGTGAGCGTATTGAGTAGGTCTGAGAATCGGCCAACATCTATTTTTCATCCCCCTAAATGTTAGGGGTAGCCCACCCCTATTTTTTTTTTATTTTAAGGCAAAACAACGTTTGCCGGGACAGCTAGTAGTTATATAATATTAATTCATTTTACTGTTCATTCGGAAAGCAGACTCATCATAAGAAGAACGAGCCAGAATCTTGCAAGTTGCTCGTTAAATATTACTAATATTTCTCTCAGCATTTATACTCTAGTAGGTTTGTATATATGATATTGTATGAATAAATATGAATAAATATTAATTATTACTTATATTATTACTACATATGTATGTTAGTCC